TGAGACCGGCACCTTCTAGAGACTCAGGTGACAAAACAGCCTGCTGGAAGCCAGGGGCATACGCTATCGAAACCTGAGCGCGCGTTACAATTTTGACAAAGCCTCAACTTCATCTTCCGCAAGTTACAGGCCTTTCTAAGAGCCGTCCCTCAGACCTGGCTGAGGCATGAAAGACTGGAGGGCTTTATGAACGACCGCGCTCTAGCTGCTGCTACACAGGTTGAGAAGCGTCAGCATACGCACTTGTTTGAGACACGCCGTGAAACAAACCTCCACGTTTTACTTGCGGCAGCTCTTCTGACAGCTCTGACCACACAGGCAGAGCTGCAAGTAAGACTCTGTTTAGAAATAATGCAGCAAAAACCTCACACGTGTTATAGCTAGCTTGTAAAGACAGTACGTGCTACCTGAACCCGGTCTTCCCTGGCTAGACTACGTCTCCCACGAACCACGACAAGCTGCCTCACTGCAGCGGAGATTAATAACGGTTTGCGTCATCTGAATACACCCTGCAGCCTAATGCACTGCAAACATCTTTCTAGTAATAGCACTGCATCACGTTATCAGCTGGACTGTGTTTTGGAGCTGAAGCACCTGCTATTTTCAGATATTAAAAATACAGCACAGCAAGAAAGTTCTTGGACAAAACAGTTTTAGGAGAAGAATCAAATCCCGGCTAGCCTATTGTTTCAACCTGACCTACGGCAGCAAAGGTCAGATGAGATACGATGTACCCTTTATAAGAGGCCTTTCAAACCCTCCAAGCGCTATACGCAGTAAATTCCATTGCTGGAGTTACGATCAAAGAGCCTAACATGGGACAAGTGCTGAAGCGAGAAGAGCGCGAGGAAATGCTAATAGTATGCCTTCAATAGCATGCTGGCTCTTCATCACAAGAGAAATGGCTTGCTAGCGCTCCAGTTGTACTATAATAACAGTTTGCTGAATTGAATGCAGAGGTATTGTTAATGCTGAGCTACTATTATGTTCTTAAGTGTGCGTGACTGTCTGAACAGTTCAGTCCACATTTGTTATTCGGGCAGCAGCAGTATAGTATATACCCTTTGCAAAGGGTATACAACTTGAATCTCCAGAATCAAGTTCTATGTGACAGCAATGCACAGGGTGCTCAAAGCCCCCTGTCAACAGAAAACAGTCTCTTTAGCCAATGCAAGGAAGCTCCTCTTCCTCCCCCTTATGTTACTCCTTCCGGTCATAAACAGAAAGTTGAAGTCATAGCAGACATTTTACAACCACTCCTAAAACATGAAAAAACCTAGAACTATGTCAAACAGTTAATCCATTTAAGCTGCAACAAGCACACATATCTAGAGAGCATGAATCTCACGGGACAGGGAGCAGGAAAACAGCATCATCTATGCACGTGCAACAGCCTCTTGTTTACTGAAGGCAGACAGAGGGAGCTGTTGGCGTTCACACAAGAGATGATGCTCCCAGACAGAAACACTTCTTATAGGATCAAGTAGTGTGAAAGATACGACTGGCTCTGAAGACCTCATTTACTGAGGTCAAAGAGAAGACGCACGTGTAATCCCCACCCCTTGCAATTTGCTTGTATGGTTTATAATACCTCTTGCAAAGAAGCGCTAACGGTAACGCAAAAGCGTTACGTAACGCAACATTAAAAGGAAACGCGTTTGTCAAGCCTGCCTCAGTTACAGCTTCTTATCAAAACCAAGTGGATCTGGCAGCACGCATCCCCGGCGGCGCCTTCGACCAGCCTAAGGGTGCGTCTGCCACTCGGCAACGCAGCGGGTTACTGGCCCAGGCAAGACGGAGCGGCACGTCCTGTGCCAGTCCAGGAGCCTGCAGACCAGCGACCCGCAGGGCTGCTACCGGTTTCCCAGATGCCCTCGCCAAGCCCCTTACCCGCCTGCACAGCTCAGGTCACGCACCCTGCGCTCCTTGCCTGCCCACCTTGGATAAACCTCTCCCAAGCTGCACGTCTATCCTCCGCATCCTCCTCCGGCAACGAGTTCCACTGGTTAAATAAGCATCACAAGGAACCAAAAAAATGTCGCTTTCAACTCTCCACCCAACGGCTTCCTCTGCTGCCTTATTTTCCTGCCTTGAGAAACGTTTTCTATCCAGCTCCTACTCTCCGCCCCACATCGTTATCGTGCAAGGTCCAACTGTGAAAGAGAAAACTACCACCAGCTACCAGTCATGACGCTAACCACCGGCCATCACTGCTGTCCTCCCAGGACAGGGGTCCCCCGAGAACGGAGGAGGAAGCCAACCCCTCAGAGTTACGGTCAGCAGACCCCAACCACAGTCGCTAAACCCCACACGTTCTCAAACTACGGGGCCAGAAATAAGATGGGCGCACAGCTCTGACAGCTTTCTTTGCACTTCACTCGCGCTTTCTAGCAGCGTTATACAATTCATTAACAGATTCCCTTACCCAGCGCAGCACTGTCCTTGGCCTTATGAAAACAGTGACAGGACTGGCAACAATTAGTCTAAATTGGGTATCTGAAGACCTTTCATTAGCAGGATCTGTAGCAAGTAGGTCACAATTGTCTTAACGATAAAGCGGGGAGCTCAGCTCCAAAAAGGAAATTCCAGGAACACAGAAAACCAAGCATTATCCTGCTGTTTCGCTTTAGCTCATATTGGCAAGAGCCTTGTCTAGAACTAATAAAGCGCACTTCATACAATATTCACAACAAAAAACAGCCTCACCAAAATTAATGACGCTTTTGCTAGAGCTGGATGAAGCAACCAGTAAAACAAGCGCAGGAAGCTTGAGTTTCCTTAATGTCAGTCACGTTGTTACGCTGTCCCCTGTAAACGCATCGAAGACGCACACATTTTTTGTTCTTCTGAGCAACACTAAGGTATGTGCTCCAGAGAGGGAATGCAATTTCAGAAGGTAGCCCAAAACTGTACTTTCTACCTAGTTTAATACTTTGATTTATAACCTCATTAGCATGGGAGAATAACTCCTATTAAAACTATTAAAGATAATTTTAGCAATAATATCAAAGGATATGAGTAGGTGTAATGATGGCACTAACTCTATGAATTAATAACTGCTCATTATTTTAAATCATATGTACAGTAGAAATGAATAATCAGGAAAATAAACAAGACGTTTTATACAAACTTCAAACTAGGGAGGCTGAAAGCACTGTAAATTACACTATAAATTATTGGTTGCCCACTCCAAAGTTTAATATTGCACTTTTGCAGACAGAAAAGTATACTGCAGGTAGGCCAGACTGTTAGGGAACTAGTTAGGGGCACAATGTCAAACAAACACCAGTTCACCTCTTCCATACCCGCACCCTTTGAGCCTCCCCTCCCGCCCCCAAACCCCATCCCCTCACCCCCAGAGCAGGCAGGCAGGTGTTTGGCATCTCACTTCCAGGTGCATACGAGGGACCATTGGATCAGGATGCTACGATGCTGAAAAAGCACTCAGAGTAACATTTCTTCCCTTAATCTTCCTACCTGGTCCTTTATCAGCCCTTTGGTCATGTCTGTTTAGATCACGAGCTCCTCAGCATGACTCTTCACCCTGCATCTGCCTGGAGGACAGCACAACAAGGCTTCTACAGACTTCTGCAACACCATGTCTTGGGTTAAAACCCACTTGCGGGCGGCAGTGACCAGGAGAAACCCCCACGGACATTATATAGAATTTTTACCGCTCTTGATCTGACCAGCATCTGCCCAAATTGAGCTTAACATACCTCCCAGCAGTGCGGGTAAAAAGGACCAGCTGACTCAAGGAAAAGCTTCCCACAAGAATTCTCCTGCCAAACTGACATACAGAGTGGTCGATTCTGCCAGCTTACCATTCATACCAACTTCCACTACCTTATTCAACTTAACGGGTGTGAGATTTGGTCCCAGTAAATAAAACACAGCATCTGGCATCCCACTTAAATTCTGGAGACAGCACAAGCCAAGCATCACCCACAAGTACATACCTAAAGGACACTTGCATCTTTCAGTCTTAAAGATGGAAGGATTTCTTCTCTTCTTGGAAAGAGGATGGTGGACTGTTATTCAGGTTTTGGTTATGGACGGGGGGGAAAGTAAGCAAGAAAGAGACCTCTGTCTGATCAAGTATATGGAACTGCAATTCTGTTTTTGATTACAGGTCTCCTTTAAGGTTTTATGAAAGCTTTTGCTACACATTAACTCTCCAGTGAAACTTACTACCGCCATTTGACAGCTGAAGTGATTTTATTCAAAGGATCAAAAGTAAAAGCTTAAGTTGCTATCAAAAGCTCTGTGCATGCATTACCTTAAATGCGCCCTGTCTTAACAGTGAAACAGCTGATAGTTTAAGTGTGTTGCCAGCTTACTTTTTTGGAATTTTTTTTTATCATTCCTAAACCTTCAGTAACTACACTGTTTTTCTGCAATCTCAGTATTTCCTGGAAAGGGGAAAGATGAGTGTTATGTGACCTGTAAAGAAGCATGTTTTAACTTTGTCCTCAGACAAGGGATGGTGAAAGACAAAGTGCCAGCAGAAGGCTACCAGAGATGAGCACTGCATGTCCATAAGCCCTTCCCCAGCTGACGAATCCAAGTCCCACACACGAGGTGACACCTCAGTGATGCAAACCTCTTCAAGCACGCGCAAGTCTACCACAAGTCCCATCTGCTCCCATAACAAGATCTTCCACACCAGGGACTGCTTAAGTAGTCCCCAAAAGCAGAATTAATTCCCTGGGCCACCGCAAGGGACAGACACAGTTAAAAGCTGATCTTCGTTAGCTTGTCAGCCTCACTTACCTGAGGTCAGACAAATGGTTTCCCTAAGGCAAGCTACCCATGTCCCCCTTGACAGTTCCCCCCCCCCCACCCCCCATCAGGCTTGCAGGCAACGCAGAGCCCCAAACCAACAAAACAACCAGCTTGCACCAGCAGCCAGGCCTGCCCTGTACCCATAACAGCTTTCCCCCACAGTAAGGAGGGAAAAATCCAGAGTGAAGGGCAGGGGAGACATGCCTCTTACTTACTTCTGCTTTCCACCAGAAAGGTGATCATCCACTCCCCTCACATACATGTTGGTCTGACACACAGCAAGCCATCCAGAGTAGTGATCATGAAGCCCATGTCCTATGCTTGGCGGGATGGAGGGAGGCAAAGAATTTGCAAACAGTCTGGAAAGAAACGAGAAGCAGGAGAGACCACGTCAGTTCTGCTCCCACTCTTCAGAAAGTGAACGTAAGGAGACTGTTAGTTGGGCAGTGAGGAGTCAGGGAGGGCACAATTGCTTTACAGTGCATGCAAGGGTTTTATATCTTGTGCAGCTAATGAATTTGGAAGTGTTTTGCCTCATGTGTTTTGCTTAGGTACAAAACTTGCATTTTGAAAACAGCACCGAGCTGGTTCACGAGGACCAGAGCAGCCCTTAGAGCACACAGAGAGGCTGATCACCCCAGTTTAGGGCTAACTGAGGCTCTCGCAGCTGAGATGACTGGGGTTGGCCCTCCCCAGAGCCCAGGGCAGCCATCCAATCCCTCAAGAGCACCAAAGAGCACACCCAAACCCCTGCCGAGTCTTGCCACTGCCTGCACCCATCTCACTACCCCACGGAGATACCAGGTGAGACTACCCAGGGCACCTAAGGGCTAGCAGTGCCCTCAAGCCCGGATGGGGTTGCCTCTGCCTGGCTATAGTGGCTGGACAGTCATCCTTTTCCCAAAGGTGGAGTGCAGGCAGCTCTCTACTCACTGTGGCCCTGGCCTCAGAGCGCAGGTGACGGACTCTGCCATGCCAGGCTGTGTCCAGCCTAGACCTAGGGCCGGGGTCAGCACAAGAGACAGGGCTTGTCTAGCATCACAAAATTCTCTTTTTCTCCTTTCCAGGCTTGATTTTGGTTGGTGCAGGCACTGCTGGGGGCTCTTCCACAAATCAGTGTTGACATCAGAAACATTCAGATGGATGGCAGGGGCCTTTTGAGCACAATACCCACTGATGGCAGGAGCAGCTGGCCAGATCCTGTACCCATACCAGAGGCTAGGACAAAACTGGTGAGGGAAGAGGTGACTGTCCCTCAACAAATGATCCCTTTTGGTCAGTGGCCCAGGCCGGGAGCACCACCAGAGCTGCTGGGGGTGATGCTGCTGCTTGGTGGGTTTCTGGCCAGGACCCAGCTCCTGATGCAGAAGGCTATTGGTCCCCCTGCCTCTCAGGGCCAGGGGTCCCCAAGTGGTGCCAATAAGGCAGAAGCAGGCCTTGCCCTGAGGACCCCAGCGTGGGGGTGGTGGGGGAGGCATTTTCCTGTCTGCCTGGACTGCACTTCCAAGGCTCCTTGATCAAGAGGTGAAGCAGCCCCTGCTGTAGCCCTACAGGATTCGGGGTCCAGGGATGGTCTCTGATGGTAAAGAAGAAACAAAGCCTGCATGGCCAGAGCTCAGGGATCCCTTGCAGAGAGCCACCCCACTGTGACACCGGGCAGGGACCCCCTGTGGGGAAGGGCCCCCCTCCAACCCAGTTCCCAAGCACCCCCTGTGACTGCACCGTTGGGGCCCACAGGACAGGGCTGGCGGTGGGCTGTCCTCCCTTCTGCCCCTCAAACGCCGCACACAACGCCTGGGCTGTGGCCGCAAGCGGAGACAAAATCTTGCAGTTTTGGGGATCGGAAACCAAGACTAGGTCAGCTGTTTTTCTGGCTGAAACCAGGGACTAAAAGCCCTGCATTTTGGGGGCTCAGCAATGGAGGCCGAGTTCTGCGTTTTTGAGGCTCGGAAACAGCAGCGAGTTTGGCTGTTTACAGCCCCAAAGTGGAGGCTGAGAAGGCCCCTTTTTGGGG